TAGATAGATAGATAGATAGATAGATAGATAGATAGATAGATAGATAGATGATAAGAAAGAAAGATTCATTTATGCCAAGGATTTTTCCCACCTATATTGTCCAAGAACAAGGGCAATATGGAGCAGGAATTTTCACAAAGAAGATGCAAGAAAAATAATTATTGTGTGTGAACATCACGAGGCTTTTCAGACTTTATAATAAAGAAACAGATAAATGAACATAGCAGTAACCATTTCACAAATATTATGATGATATTAGCAAACAATGCAAGAGAACCAAAGACAAATTTTGCAGTGACCCATGCCATCTGTTGCCTGGCATGGTCTAGTATAAAACTGAAAATCCTGTCACCAACACCACATGCCTTCAGCCTTTCAACAAAGCAGCATCCAGTCACCCAAGGTGTTAGGCACAAAATGACTAGTCAGAAATGCCCTTGCTTGGGTGACTATCTCTGATAATCCCACACAGCTTGTGGTAGGAAGGAATGTGTTAGAAGCAGTGAAATGAACTTAAGACATGCACCATGGGGTGAAAGATGAGTGGGACTGTGTTTTGTGATGACTGACTTAGACGGAGCTTGTGCTGGAAGATGTTTCAGAAAGCTGTGAAATAATAACTCAGGGGGAATTCTTGGTGAGGTTAATAAAAACTTTAAGGACAGCCCTGAATGCAGACCTAAAGCACATGCATATTCATGTGCTGACTGGGAGAAGAAAAAAAGGCCTGAAGAAGCAGAAACAATTAAAAGACGACATAAGAAAGATGATACAGGAGAAGAGAATAGATAAATCATGTGGAAAGAAACATTATTCTTTTGATCATAGAATTAGAGTGATCATGCCAAGGCTCTTTCATCCTCTTAATAGGTATGTGTTGAGTGACTAGTTTGTGCCACTCATGGGACCCCATTCTTTCATACAACATATGTGCCCAGATATAGCCTGTATCATCAAAAAGCTTAAAATCCAGAGAAATTGCATCTAGTGCAGGGTATCAAAAAAGACTTCCACAAGGATTTTGTGCTACTTAAGAAGAAATGTAAAGAGTAAGCAGCAGGAGTGAGCCAGAGGGTGACGGAATCCCACTGGAGAACATCCTGAGGTAGTGTGGAAAGGACAGTGTGGAGTGTGTGTAGAGAGACTGAAGCCAAATGCTAGCATCTGGGGTTTAATGTAGGCAATACATTACAAGGTCATGCGTGGTCTTGCAAACTCTGTTTAAGATACTAATACTCATCCTGAGAGCCCTAAAAACCCAAATATGGCTGTAGACAGAATGGAACTTTGAGAAGAGGAATACTTCAGCGAGGTCATTGCAATGGGATCATGGAAATGTTTGTTTTTTCAAAGGTTTGAGAGTGGAAGTGCAGACTAACAGGGTACATACAAAAACAATCAGAGGCTGATAATAGAGAGGGAAAGGCAAGGAATAGTTATGAGGTCCAATGAACAGAACTCAAGGATGAATTGAGTGAGTATGGTGAGGGACATGGAGGTGTCAAGAGAAATCTCTCCTGATTTTTTTGCACAAAATGACCACAGGTTGACTGAGATAGGGGACCCTGGCAAGGTCATGAGATCTGGGGAAGGATGGACTTGGAATTATTTTAGATGCCTTTAGTCTGAGATGCTTTAGATCCAGCCATTTATAAAAACAGACTGCTAAGCCAGGCGGTAATGGTGTATACCTTTAATCCCAGCACTCAAGAGGCAGAGACAGGCAGATCTTTGTGAGTTCAAGGCCAGCCTGGGCTACAGAGTGAGTTCCAGGAAAGACACAAAGCTACACAGAGAAACCCTGTCTTGAAAAACATACATACATACATACATACATACATACATACATACATAAAAAAAAAAAACAGACTGCTAAGCCAGGAAAGGAGACTTGAGATGGAGACACAAATGTAGGCGACATTTGATTACTGAAGGAAAACAAGCATTTTCTTATATAAGCATGGACAAAGAGAGCAAAGAAAAAGAAAGATTTTTTTAAAATATTTTATTCATTTTATTTTATGTATATGGATGTTTTGCCTGCATGTATGTCAGTGCATTACGTGTGTGCAGTGCCCACGAAGACCAGTAGAGGACATAGAGTCCCCAGGAACTGGTGTTGCAGAAGACTGTGAGCCACTGGGCACAGAACTCTGGGTCCTTTCATAACCGGGAAGCCATCTTTCCAGTCTCAAGAAGGATGCTTTGAAGAGATTTGGGAGGATGTACCAATGCTAAGACCATATATACTTAAAATCAAATTCAAAGTAGACTGTTCTGCATGATAAAAAGAAAACTGAGGTTGTGGGCTATAGACATCAAGAAAAGTGAAAGCTGTAAGAATAAACTACTAACTATGATGTGATCTTCTATTACTGACAAACTTTAGCAAATTCAAAGAACATTCAAAAAATCACACACACACACACACACACACACACACACACACACACACACACACACACACACACACACACACACACACACACACACACACACTGCCCAAACAAACACAATAAAATATTACTTCATGCAGTTAAAGTATTTTATTTTTCAATACTAATAGTGCTTTCGTCTTGTACCAAAGGCTGGCCTACCCACATCAGTGAAAATTTAATGGATCTGGAAATCGCAGCCTTACTTAAAATCGTTCCTTCTGAAGCAATGGCTACAAAAAACAGGTCACTGAAGAATTGTAGCCCCGATTTCAGACCTACTCCTACATTAATGGCAATGTTAGTATCAGTGAATTTCTTCAAGAGATCAGGGCATTTTCACAACTGAAAGGGTTCTTCTTCAATGGTTGAATTATTCAAAGACCGCAGTGCCCAGGAAAGACACTGGGTTTCTTGCCTTGCAAGGATTGCCCCAAATTGGGAGCACTTCCTGATGCTACTGATACTGTTCACTTGATGCAACCATTGCGGTTATTTCTAAGTTCAAAACCGCCCCCAAAGGTACTATGGTTCTGTTGCTACCTCTACCCAGCAGCACTGGAAATCCACCGTGTCCTACCCTAGCTCCATCTCCACAGCAGCTTTCCTGTTTCATTTGAACCAGGGAATTGTCCTGGGATGTGACTCTGCCTAGCATTTTTCCTTTTGAATTCTCAAACCTGACTGTGAGTTCTTAAGAGCTGCAAAAATAGGGAACTGGAGATAGGTCTCGGTGGTTTAGAGCACTGCCGCTTTTGCAGAGCGCCCGAGGACCTGAGTTCAACTCCCAGAACCCACACGGTGGCTCATGACTATCTGTAATGCTACTTCCAAACCTCCAGACACCTTCTTACATGCAGACAAAACACTCATACACACACAAAAAAAAAAATTTTTTAAGTTTTAAAAATGCAGACCTTATAACATAATAAGAAGTTATTTCATAGAGATGGGATGTTGCATATGTTCAGCATGTGCAAGGTCATGTGTTTAATACCTAGCAGTAAAGTAAAAGTGCATTAGTTGTTACTTTTCAAGAGCACAAGGCACTGTCCTAGAACTAATTAATCTTAACAACTTCCTCAAGAGATAGACAGTCCTTTCGTCTCATGTTATGAATGGGGATGTGAAGGCTCTGGGAAGTCAAATTATTTTGCTTTTCTACCTGATCTCGCTGGCTACCTTGCTGCTACTCTATATTGCCTCCATTAGCTTGTGGCTACTACTAGATGTGTTTTATCCAGTGTCTGAGCTGTTTTTCTCACAGCCATGACCAAGGTCCTTACAAGAAACAACTTAAGACAGAAAGGATTTATTTTGGCTCATGGTCTGAGAGGAAACAGTTCGTCATGGCGAGAAAGGCAGTGTAGCAGGAGGTGGCTCCATAACAGCAGGACGCTACAACCAGGCACCCTCATCTCCTCACATCTCTGGCCATGAATTTCAAGGCCCACCTCTAATGACCCACTGCCTCCAGCTAGGGCCCCGCTTCTTAATGGATCCACAACTTCCCAAAACAACACCCCAGGCTGGGCACCAAGTGTTCAAACCTGTGAGCCTATGGGGAGAGGCTGATTCTACATCCAAACGCAGCTAGCATTTGCCAGATACATTGTGCTTCTCTAGACAGCCAGCCTCGGGCATGGCGTCTGTTCAAAAGACCCTGTTCAGCAGTCTGGCTTGGCGTCAGTAGTCTAGTTCCTTCATAAGGGATAAGAAAATGTAAGAGTTGCCTATGATCACACATAGTAAAACTAAAACCCCAATGGTAACCCAATTCGAGGCTCCTTCCTGCATATGTCACTAGAAGAGACACATTTTTTAAATTTATTTATTTATTATATTATGTGCATGGATGTTTTGCCATGGGTGTCGGGTTCCCTGGAACTGGAGTTACAGACAGTTGTGAGCTGCCATGTGGGTGCTGGGAATTGAACCCAGGTCCTTTGGAAGAGCAGTCAGTGTTCTTAACCACTGGGCCATCTCTCCAGCCCCCGAGAGACACGTTTTTAACTTCTACTCAAATATCATTACCTAAGCACACAACTTTTCCTTTGAACACTGACCTTTAGACAAAATTCTCCAGTACAAGCTTCCTTCCAAATTTTTTTGAAGCAATTTTCACCCATTCTGTAGACAGGAATACTAAGGGGCAGACAGATTTAAAGGGCTATAGAGAACACAAACTATACACCAGTAAAAACAATTGCAGATTTCTTCCAAAAATGAGCTCTCATACAAATAAAGCCATTACTATACAGTGTATGGATTCTTATAGGTAAATTTCTTTATATAAATATTTTGGGACATATTAAAAATACTATCCCAACAATTTTATTATTAGATTTTTTTTTTTTTGCTTTTAAATACCTGAATTAGTCAGGGTTCTCAAGACTAACAGAACTTATAGAATGAATCTCTCGATATATACAGAAAGGGGACTTATTAGAATGTCTTATAAGCTGAGGTCCAGCTAATCCAACAGTGGCTAGCTGTGAATCGTAAGCCCAAGAATCCAGTAGTTGCTCAGACCACAAGGCTAGATGTTCTCAAATGGTCTTCAGTAGGTGCTGGCATCCCAAAGAAGTAGGCTCTAATGTCAATGAAGGAATAGACCTGCTAACAAGGTGAGGGCAAGCTGGCAAAGAGCAAAAGCTTCCTTCTTCCACCTCATTAGATAGGCTTCCAGAAGGAGGTGAGGCCCAGATTAAAGGTGTGTCTTCCTGTCTCAAGATCTGGAATTAAAGGCAAGGCATTTCCCATTCAAAAGATTTGGATTAAAGGCGTGTCTTCCTTCCTCAAAGACCCAGATTAGAAGTGGATCTTCCTACTTAAAATTAAGCAATGATCCCTCACAGATGTGCCCTCTATTTTTGGATTTTAGTTAATTCTTGACAACCAAAAGTAGCCATCACAGTCTCTATAGTAAGAATTTTAATGTAGATACAGCTCTGGTTTTAAAAAATAGGGTTTTTTTTTCTTTTCAAATGTTTATACTCTCTATATAAGCCTTTGGGAGAATTATTTCAGAAGTCTGTCATAGATTGCAAAAATAATTTATAAAATGTAATTTAATATATTATCAAGTTGTATACATTTTAAAGCTGAATGTTGCAAGTTGTGCAAAGAGGCACTGAATACTAAAAGGGAAGCTAGATTCTGCAGCCTTGCAACATCAATCATGCCTCCCTTGAAAACTTGACACAACAATTAATGACATATCCGACATGTACAGGCGCCTCTAATCATGTCTTGGACTACATACCAAAAGTAGTACTGGGCAAAGACTTTCAGTAAATTACTTTCATTTACTCTGTGCAGCTGAGTAGAAATTCTTCTTTCTGACTCCTCTGGATAAATTTGTCTGCCAGCATGTCTTTTTGATTTTGACAAGAGATCACATAGAAATGGTAGTGATCCTTTAGGAAGTGAGCCAACTAAATCATGTGATCAGTGCCGATGCCCAGTTTAGACGATACCTGTTTTTAATCTTTCATAAAATCACATTTCTGCTAGAATTGAAAAGTCTGACTTTTGATCTCTTATGCTAAATAGTACTATAAGACTTACAGTGACCGTAATATTCACAGAAGCAAAGATTTGACTGATATGCCAAATGTCCCCTCATCCTGATGCCTCGGCATCCTGGTATCAGAAGTGTGACTTCAGTATTAAACTGTTCTCATTCCAAGTGAGGCATACATGTTGAAACTTCACAGAGTATCATTTTAACTTGAGCTGCACTGCCACAATAATTTTTACATTAACACAATCATTTCTAAGCACCATGTTAAGGGTGACTCATTGTAATGCTATGTTAATACATCTGACCTCATAATACATACTTTTGTCCTAGGTCTCTTCATGATGGACACAAGTGGGAAGGTCAATGGCATGTTAATAAGGCTCAGTTATGCTCATGAATTGTTAATTATTTTGGTGTGTTAAATGTTCTCAAAAAAACATACAATGTCTTCCTGCATACACACACATATCATGATGCTCTTATGATGTGAGAGAAAGGAAGGGAAGAGAGAGATTATGTTTCTGGAACAATAAGTTTTATTCATAAATAAATCATCAGCAAAGTAAGTCTGTCTTTCACCGTGAGTAAAACTCACCAAAACGTATCAGTTTAATTGACTCTGAATGGCTAAGCAATATATATTTTTTAAAGATTAAAAAATATATATCAAAGTAAAATAGGCCAATGTAGAAGAAAAGATTGTATCTACATCTAACTTCACTATGAAACAGAGTTCTTTGATTCATAAATGTTCTCTTCCTACCCTACAGCTGATACATCTCTTTGTGCACAAATCTCCTCTCAGATATTTAAACCTGGCTTAACATTTAACGGCTGCATTTGCAAAGATGAAACAGCTTTATTCGCCATCCTCAAAATGATTTGGCTGCATCGTAGGTGATTTCAAAAACAATGCCAACTCGATCAGAGAAAAAAAAAGAATACAATGGCTTAGGCCAACTGCTCATAAATGTCAGATACACTTGCACAGGCTGAGATTAGCATGTCCGTTAGGTCATAAGGGCATGGTCATTTCAGTTCAAAACTCCCCAAATTCACTTACCTTCTGTTTGTCATCTGTTAGGACATTTGAAGCTCAGTTGGTGTGCCTGCCTTAGAGTGTCTTATCTCATTGTTCTGTGATTCGGAGTTGCGTTCTCCATCTTAAGAGGAAGAAGGGAAACATTGGCGTTTGTTCTCCATACCCACAAGTGCTTATTTACAAATGATATTTTTATAAGTGGAGTTAGAAGGGTTTCTCTAACGCAACCCAAAGTACCTCTTGCAAAAGGGATAGGCTCCTAAAGCAACAAATCAATGTATATTAGATATGGAAAGGGGGAGGGGGAAGCCAGCCACTCTTCTTCTACCAGTATCCTACTATCCAGCTACAATAAATTTGCTTTTCCCCCCCTCGGCCTTGATAGGTATTCATAGATGTCTTTTTGACATACATAAAACAGCAATACCCAATGTGAAAACAAAGGAGTGTGTGCGTGGCTAGTAATAACTCAGTAATCAGCAACTCCTCCCAGGAACACCGTTGTTTCGATCCGTTTCCACATGCAAACTTCCTTCTGCTTATAAATCAGGAGACTAAAGGGAAATAAATACATTCGCATCCCAACGCTCCAACACTCATCCCAAGCAAGCCTCATCCTGTGTCACTGCCTCAGTCATGCAAATTACACCAGAGCTGTCAGTTGACTAAGATTAATGACACTGCGCCAGCTTCTTTGTTTCTCTCTGCGGCCGTTTAGTGTGAAATACTATCCAAAAACATTATCTATCCTCGATTAATCCCACAAATTTGTTCACACGATGCACATTGTTTAGGGCAATTTACAACAGGAACATACTGAGCACAATTGCATTTAATTACTTGGGTTCTAATTACATTCATTAAAGGCTAATAAAATAAATGAAACAGCTTTAAAAGCTTCTGCAAAACACATGGGTCTTGTCTCCCTAGTGAAACATACAGTAGATGTTTGATGTGAAACACGGTTTTGACCATATATGTGTATTTATAGATTTACATACATCCACACTCCGTGCAGTATAGAAGGGAGATTTTAAATCCTAAGCCATAAAGCTTCAACTGCTCTATGAATGCATCTATTTAATGAGTGGCTGACAGGTTTTAGGAGCCTAGCACTACTCCTTTTATTTTATGTGCAGAATAGAGAAAAACAAATCCATTTCAAAATCGCCTTTGAATCTTAATTGTTCCCACCTGCAGGGCCCGGATGCCCAACTCTGGCTTTTCCCATGCCCACTTTCGACAGGCCGCTGACCAGCAAAACAGGAATGTGCTCCACTCAAGCTGGCTCCTAGAGAGCATGTCTATCAGGTTCAGTCCCCAAACTCAGTTGAGACTGTTGGCTAACTCCCCTCTAACACTGTGGGACAGCTGTATAATCTAGTGTGTGAAAAGTTACAGTTTAAGTCACACTGAATTGTTTTCCCTGTAAGGATTTTAACAATGAACTCTGTGTGTGTGTGTGTGTGTGTGTGTGTGTGTGTGTGTGTGTGTGTGTACATTTTGCACATGTGGTGGGGCAGTGCACACAAACACATGTGTGCATGCATGCGGAGGCTAGAGCTTGATGTCATGTGTCCTCTATCTCTCCACTTTTAATTTTGTATTGTTTGTTTTGTTTTGTGTGCACACTCTTTGCTCTTCCCACATTCTCTTAGGGCAGCAGTTTGGGGACATTCATTACCCGTAAGGCAGTGGAGGGCTGCTTACTTCAGTGCTGCCCAGCCTTGAACTCCTGGGAGCTCAAGAGTTCTGTCCAACTTGTGTATCACAATATAGTGTCGGCTATGGTGCCCAGCAGACACATCTTCTGAACGATGCTCTGCTACCATTCAGTAACTTCACAAAATTAGCACAGCTAAATAAAACAGAATCATACTAGTGTAGAGCTGGGCTGGGTGAAATGAGATACCAAGCAGGAACTGGAAACCCCAGATGGATATTTTCTGATATGTGCCTATTCTCCCCTCCCCTCTTCTCAAGATGGCTTCTCAACCGTGGTGCTTGCGAGATGGAGAACATCTCAGTGTGGGGGCCATTCCATCACATACGTTTGATTCTCATCACCCACGTGGAGGCTCACAACCATCTACAACTCCAGTTCCAGCATAGCCAGTGCCCTTTTCTGGCTTCTGGGGGCTCTGCATGCATATGGTGCACAGACATACATGCAGGCAAAACACCCACGGACATAAAAATAAAGATTTGAAAATCTAAAGAAAAAGGTAGTCTCAGAACTGTTAGACTTGTTTCTTGTTTCTTTGTATCAATCTGCAGCTGTTGTAGGCAGACTACCTCCACGCCTAACACAGTGACTGGTTTATACATGTTTGGTTTATACATGCTTGTTGAGTGCCTATCAATCAGGAAATGAAAAATACAAATGAAGGGAATGTTTTCTTTCTTCCTTGCTAGCATATGTTCTTCCCTAGAGACGGAGTACTTATTAAACTATCCTGTGAGAGCTCACTGAATAGAGCAGTCCTGCATCTATTCAGGACATCTATTTAGACAAAAGTTCTAAAATTATGAGAGCAGCTTTTTCCAGGACAGAAGACTCAACATGAAAAATTTCTCTCAAAAGTCTCAGACCTGATTTACACACGCAGACACTTTAAATTTGATCTATTTTTCAAGAAAAGATAAAGAATCATGATGTTTAATAAATCCTGGAGTACTAACTCAGTTTCTTTACAATTGATCTTGTACACGCTCACAGAGATTTAAAGAGTGTTTTGAATGCCATGACTGTTCTAAGAAAGGACAGCAGAAGATCTTAAGAACAGAGCCATGGTGCTTCTTCAGACAGTAGGGAACTCCCTTACATCTTGACACTTCAGAGCAAAAGAACATGGGCCCTTCTGGACACTGGGAGGCATCTTCATTGTATGCACACAAATGTGTTCCTTCCTATAGTTCCCGAAGCTCCCTACCATTACTCAAGAGGATTCAGAGTGGGGCAAGAAAAGACATACAAATAATACCCCTATCTACCCATGAATGTCGGCCATTTCTTTCCTAGTCTCTTCTCTTTTTCGTTTTCATCCTACCTCTGGGAAACTAAAAGGAGCTGCTCCACGTGAGCACCAGAGAAATATATAACTACAAACTGAAAGCCCGTGACCTCAATCCCCAGCGCCCCTTGCCCCTCATTACAGCAGCAGTTGGTGTAGGGAAGGATTAAAGAGGGCTAGAAATCATTGGGTGAGCACACGAGGTCTCAGAAACTTGACCTTGGTTACTTAAAGCACAGAGTCTCCACTAAAAGCTGGTCTATGAGGAGAATTAAAAACAGAACAAGCAGAGGTCAGGAGGAGTACAGGAGTGCTAACAAAGATGAGGTTGAAACAGAAAAGAAAAAACTCTAAAACAGACATCATCTTCTCTTCCACCAGGCAGGCTTGGACGCCACCAGGAAATACTCTGGGTTTAGCTACCAACCAAAAATGCAAAAGAGCCTCCCCTCAGCCACACCAGAGCAGAAGCCAGCCAAGGGAGAGCTTGCCAGTGCTACTCAGCCAGCCCCAGCCTTCTTACAGCACTTTCTAATGAAACAGAATCAGACTGAGCCTCCCTCTCTATCTGAAAGCTTTTATTATCTGGATCTATGAATTACCCGGGTTTAATGGGAAATACAAGAAGAGATTACAAAGGCACTGAGTAGTAAAATATTTTTTACAGTTGTGAAACTTAGAGCAAGGCTCCTTTCTTTTCTGGAGAAGTAAAGGAAGGGCAAGGGCTAACGCCATAAAGCACATGCCCGTGGCAACAGCCCCAGTGGGGGCATGAACTCAAAAGCATTTCAGAAAACCTACACTTAGGAGTGAATGACTCCCAGCTGTCAGAAACAATGGGGCCACATTATTCATTGTCCCTTCAGGCTTGTGTTCTGTGGCCCTTGGGAGCAGGCCAGGTCTTTCAGGGACTTGAGGAAACTGAGGCATGTAACTTGGACTCAGAATACATAACTGGCCCCCAAAGAAGTCTGCCTCCTGAGATTAGTCAATATTTGCTCATTTTGAACGAAAAGCCCAATAGCCAACTCTTTTCTTTCTTACGAACAATGATTATCATGACAAGTAATGGTTCCATAATGGGTTGAGCTTTCCAAAACATGTTCTTACACTTTCAAAGACAGCTAAGCTAAATCCTGTCACAAAAAGATGGCAAGATGTGTGTGTCCCAATCTTTCTCTCTGCACAACTCTATCAACATTTCTTGCTCTCTGTATAAACCAAGAGACTCTTCTACAACAGAGCTGTCCAAAATGCATATAACTTGATATGTTTGTTCAATTTAAATGTTTATAGTAGCCATAATAAAAAAAGGAAAAATGAACACGGGAAATTATTTTCATGATACATCTTATGTAAACCAATGTATCAAAATGCTGAGAAATGCTAACATAAAATCTACTGTGATACACTTTTGCACTGATCTTAACCATTTTTAAAAAATCTTCTTTTATTTAATTTTGTGTGAAGGGGGTGGTACATGCATGTGAGTGCAGGTGCCTATGGAGACCAGAGGCATCGGATCACCAAGGACTTGAGTTACAGGCAGTTATGAACTGCCCAATGTGGGTCCTAGGAGCTGGACTCAGGTCCTCTGCAAGAGCAGTACCTGCTCTTGACCACGGAGCCACCTACCCAGCCCCTAATTTATACGAATTTTTTGAAATTTGATGTAATTTGTACCTGAAGCATACCTCAACAGGATTAGCTACCTTTTCGAATAGCACAGCCCTATCCTTCCCTGTTTTCTTTAATTAAGAGGTCCTACTGCACAGTTACTTTATTCTGTACTATAGGCTAAAAACATTTTTTAAAGGAATGACTTGAGTTACTTCCAATGTTTTAAAGATAAAGATATCTAATAATACATTTGGAAGATAACAGCATATACTCATCAGTGCTAAGGATGATTAGATGAATATGCCTACCTTATCAACCAGTATTAACAGTGTGCTTATTTCATGTAAAGCATGGTACTAAACACCAGCCCATGAGGCCCTACTGTGCACTAGATGGCTCTTTCGACACCAAGCCTCCAGTCGGCTCCAAAGTGTTGGACAACTCTTAAGTGAGGCAGATTCAGCATCAAACAAGGACGGTAAAAGCT